AGAGAAATTACTTCTTTAGGAGGTACATTTGTAATGTTATTTAAATATGAAATAAACATTTCAACAGGCCACTAAACCAAAGAGTTCGTGATACATATCTTAGTAAAAATATATTTGATCCAAAATATGAACAAATGATAATTAACATAAGTAGGCCAAAGTAATACAGTTTAGTCTCTTTTTTATTACAAAACTTGACTGATTTCCTATATTACTGAATTTTGTAACTGTGTATTATAACAGCTAAGTATATGCAACTGTGTATTTGTCTAAAATAGACAAAACATTATTATAAACTATAATGGGCAGGCTTTACTTTTTTAGTGTACACATATCTAGATACAGCTAAACTTTTGTCTGATAGGAATAAATTAAAAACATACTGAAGAAAATGAGTTCTTCTCTGCCATCATTTGCCTTGTAATAACATCAAGATATCTTTATTCCTCCTTTTCATTTAGCTTTACATTTTGGTTCCCAGGACAGTAGCAAAGATTAAGTCTGCAAGGTTATTTAGACTACTTTGATAATGTATCAAAACTCAAATTCTTTAATTGATGTGTTCTAAGCAGAATATCAGCTCACTCTGTGATAACTCTCCTCTCCCCAGGAACATTCAGAAGGGCCACAAACAATCCCCCAGGAATTGGTTAGTAATTATCCATAGTGTTTATTTTGTATACTTTAGTAATGCTATGTATTCTCTTTAATCTGGTCACTCCAAAGAACCTGAAAACATTCTTTAAAAAAAACTGACCAAAAAAAAAAAAAATCTGTGTAGGTTTTATTAAACATATATATTATCATAGTATCAAGTGCTATTATATAGTTTTTTAACATGATTTTTTTGTTTCAATTATATTGTTCAATAAGATAAAACTTTGTTATATTCTTGAACTATTTAAAATATTTCTTAATTTGTGTTCAGAGCATTCCCATTTTTGTTTTGTTTTGTTTTTTTTTAAGTAGGCTCTGCTCCCAGTGTGGAGCCCAGCGTGGGGCTTGAACTCACGATCCTGAGATGAAGACCTGAGCTGAGATCAAAAGTTGGACACTTAACTGACTGAGCCACCCAGGCGCCCCATTGTCCCAGTTTTTTTATTTGCCTGCCCCATTATAGTTACATTCCTTTGGATCATTCCAATAAAAAATTGGAGTCTTTATTTAGCGCTTAATATTTGTCTAGAGCTGTGCAAGATACTGTAGAGGCAGTGGAAGAAATATAAGATAGGCCCTCTGATCTTAAAGAGCTAGATATTTAAAAGACTACATTTCTGAAACAACCAGAGGAAAATATAAGGAGGATGACAGGAGGGAAAAATTGTGAGACAAACTCTGAAGTATTAAGAATAGACAGGTCAGTATAGGCTAAAGTAGTTATAGAGAATGTGACCTGGGCTTTGAAGTGGGTCAGTAAGGAGGTATAGCATTTAATCTTGGATTTAAGAATTGACAGATATCCAGAACAATAAAGCACTGGCTAAAGAAAATGGATAAGTTTTCTGAAGTTGAGACCTTTTAATGCAGATCGGATTTTAAAAATGTTATTATTTACTTGTTTTAATATCTAAAATTATGACACTTTAGAACCAACTAGTGCAAACTCCTACAGTTATCAACATTTAAAAAGTTAATTGTTTTCAACTTAAAATTTTAGATTATAGACTGTGTCTTAAAGATGTGTCTTAAAATTTTAGATTATAGACAGAATGAAGTGCCTAGTAGAGGTCTATGTACCGAATTCTCTACAAGATCTTGAGAACTGACTGCAAAAAAAAGGTTTTGACCATGCCTCTAAAGGAGAGACATGCTTTCAGGATGCCTTTAATTTGTGGTTTCTGATTTTGGTGTACCATTTGAAGTCCTGATTTTATATTTAGATTATTTTGAAATTACAGAACTAATAATTAAAAGCTGTGCTAATAGCCTTCTGTGTCAAACAAAAAGCTAAAGTAGAGGTTTTTAAAACCATCGCATCCATATAATGTGGCTTTTGTGCAAATTTGCTTGTTTTAAAAATAATACTTTTTTAAGTTGCCACTTTTTATATGGAGGCTAGTATAAAGGTCTGCTGGATATAGGGGCGCCTGGGTGGCTCAGCTGGTTAAGTGTCGGACTCTTGATTTCGGCTCAGATCATGATCTCAGGGTCTTTGGATTCAGCCCCCTGTTGGGCTTTGCACTCAGCACAGAGTCTGCTTGTCCCTCTCCCTCTGCTCCTCCCGCCACCCATGCTCTCTTGCTCTCACTCTCTCTTTAAAATAAATAAAATATTTTTTTTTAAATTGGCTTGATATAGAGTGAGAGTGCAGAAATACTTTACACTTCTCGTTTCATTAGGTCTGATAAAAGGCCCTAATCAGAGTTCAGTGCATATGTCCCCTTCTATCTTCAGTGATGCGGAAAGGCTGGAACAGCAGCAGTGAGGGTAGAAGGGAGCTTTGTGCCGTGGCTCTGAACTGCGTGTGTTATAGGAAGGATGGCCCAGCAGAGTTCCTCTGCCACTTCAAAATTTTTCTAAGAAATAAGTTGAATGTTTCAAGTAAATTTCTTTTCTTGGACTGAATTTCTAGATACTTCTTGTATATTTTTATGGTTTAGAAAAACATGTTCACACCCATTAAAGGACCAAATACTAATGAATATAATTAGAAAATGGAAACAAAATAGTTGCCTATTCCTAAGAAATGACATTTTAAGTTTATTCCTATCGTGACTAACCAAGAGAAGGTTTAAGAATTCTCTTTTGGAATTTGAATATATAGGTTTGAATGATATTTTGAAAGAAATGGCTTATTAGTGATTTAGAATTTGTTCCCTTCTTCCTTTGCCATCTAAGATAGATGAGTAGGCAGCTGGACTTATGCTTATCTGTACATTTGTATTTTACCAATTACTTTATTCAGGATCAAAGTGTGGCATGACTTCATAATCCATTTGGCATTGTTGAAACTTTCAAATAATTAAAAACTCTTTCATTTCTAAAAATGTTTATCTCTGCCTGACAATTGTGATAATGAGAGAATACAGAATCATTTTGTGGGTTTATGTTTTACTGATAATGTAATCTATTATATAACAATAAGCTTAATTTTTCTATTTTATATCAATTCAGAGTTATAGTCTATATATTCTGTAGGTGTTCTTTAACTTGTGTGTGTGTGTGTGTGTTTATAACTAAGAAAAGCTTCAAAAGGTAAATGCTTAAACTTATTTTTCCCCTTAAATTTACTTTCAATTTATATATTCTTTACACAGATAAAACTTTCTTTTCATATGTGTGCGTGTATGTGTGTTGTGTGTGTGTGTGTGTGTTTATATATATATCTATATATACACCGTGTATGCATATATGTGGGTGTGTGTGTGTGTGTACACACACTATGTTCCTATTAAATGAATACCATAGTAGAAATTACTGATCTGGCAACCCAAAAAACCTTCAGTTTTGCTCTCAGTTCTACCACTCAGTGCCATTAGAGTCTCTCTTAAGAATTATGTGTAGGTTATGAATCTAATTCTTCCTCTTACTAGTTTTTAAATTTTTAATGTTTCATTATTTATTTTTTAAAAGATTTATTTGTTTAAGAGAGAGAGAGTGTGTGTGGGGAAGGGGCAGAGGGACAGAATGTCCAAGCAGACTCCTGCTGAGCAGGGAGTCTGATATGGGCCTCTGTCTCATGAGTCATGACATCAGGACCTGAACTGAATCCAAAAGTCGGATGCTTAACTGAGTGAGCCACCCAGGCACACCACTAGGTTTTTTATTTTATTTATTTATTTATTTTGTTGTTGTTGTTCAGTTAGATACCACTAGTTTTTTAAATTAGGTTATTCTCTTAGGAAACAGCATAACAGCATAGCATAGTAGAATTTTGGCTATATTCCTTCAATATATTAGATAACTACTCTGAACCTCAGTTTACTAATTTATGAAGTAGATATGATAGTTTCATTCTGGTGATGATTAGATGAGTTGTATATGTGTTTTGCCTGAGTTAAATTTCAGTTGCAGGACATGGTAACTATATAATAATAATTATCATTTTAAAAATCTTATATGTAGCTGTTATAATAATTTTAATAGTGAGGATAATTATAATTATGATTAAATCACTATATTTCATTATCTTTATCTACCAAATGAGGACAACCCATGTCCCCTTCTAAATTCCATAACTATAATGAAACTGTATTATACTATTTTATTTTAAAGTGCCTTCTAGTAGAGGATATATTTTCCAAGTCTTACCTTTATGAAGAAGTACACAAACTTGACATTGGACAGTATTATTTGTAATTTATTGGTTTTTGAATCAGAAGTAATTACTGAGTGGTAACTCAGGTTTATCAGTTTCCTAAAACCCTGCATTTCTCTTAACTATTACCAAAATTTTGCTCTTTCTTGAAATATATTATATCACTTATTCTATGTTATCACTAGTAACAGAAAGTACAGTTAAAAATCTTCATGTATAGGGATGCCTGGGTGGCTCACCCAGTTAAGCATCTGCTTTCGGATCTTCTTATGATCTCAGGGTCCTGGGATCGAGTCCTGCATCAGGCTCCTTGCTCAGCAGGGAGTCTGCTTCTCCCTCTGCCTGCCACTCCCCCTGCTTGTGCTCTCTCTCTCCGACAAATAAATAAATTTTAAAAAATCTTTAAAAAAAAATCTTCATGTATAATTCCTTTTCTTACTCTGAGAAGTGATTTAAATTAAGTTGTAATAAATAAATGGTAGTATGCTTATATGGTATTTAGTTGTTTTCTTCTCTGCTAGGAGATGGGAGAGTGACTTAGCACTTATACAAATTATTCTTGGGTTATATGTTGATTTACATGATAAACTTCCATAAGAAGATAGGAAGTTGCCCGGTTTTTCTTCACTGTATTTGTTCTGATAAATGTACTATATTTTTTCCCCCTCAGAAGAAGTTATATATATTTAAAACTCAATGTTGATATTCTCCCAAAACTAACAATGTTTTCCTTTTGTTCTAGTTCAGACTTGGTTCCTTCAACCTGGAGAAAGTTGCAAGTCCAGCTGAGGTCATTAGAAAACTTATTTGTGATTGCCTGGATACTATCACAGAAAACCAAGCCAAAAATGAGCACCTGCAGAAGGAAAATGAAAGGCTTCTGAGAGATTGGAATGATGTTCAAGGACGGTATGTGCTAATGTTCTTGTATTACAAAAACACTAAGCTCTCATATTGCTATAGATTTAAGTTAATGATTTGTAAGTTTATAATATATGTAGACTAGCATATATTTAGCATAAAATCTTAGTATGATTAAATCAAGCTCTTGGTCATTACTGTACATTATTGGAGTACGTTAACACTTATTGGTCATTGTATTTGGTGGCACCAGCAAACTAATGAACAATAAGGAGTAATCAGGCAATGAGAATCAGAAGCCATTAATATTAATCAAAATTTAGGAAGTTGATATTTATAAATTTAATTTACCTCAAATTATAGGATTAATAATGAATAAAAAAAGACATGAAATGTAAGTATGCCAATTGATTACTTATATGGACTCTTTATATAAATGGTAACTATTTCAGATGCTGTGTGTTTTGGATCCTGTTATAGACTTATTTTGTTCACTGAGAATTCATACTACCAGCATTTTAAAAAGATGAAGTAATTGTGTTTACTAGATAAGACATTTGGAAGCCCTTATTTTAATGATTTTGCCTCTTTTAAAAAAAAAAAAAAATGAAGAAAGTCACTTTACTTCTTGTTATGCATTTTTTTCAGTTGTATCGTAATAGGCCAGCCCAGGGTGTATTTTTATTGCTCTGTTAGGTAAGAGATGTTTGAATGAAACAAAATGTATGTTATGACCATTTATATCTCTACAGAGACATATAACATCATATGCATGTGTTTGTACATATGTGCATGGCAACATCTGAAAGAGTTATATGGAATATATATACTAATAACATTATTATTATATCCAGTATATCCAGTAGATTTTTTATCTTTCGATCAAACCAGTAGCTCTGAAACATAAGAACAATTTTCCAATTTAGGATCTTTTTAGGATAATCCTTAAGATTGTTTAAAATGGATTGGTAAGTAAATGTGAGAATATATGAAAAATGTGAAGGGTTTACCACTATCAATGTATGTTTGTGGAAAGGGTGTTAACTAGAAGGAATTATGTTTCTATATATCCAATTATATTTATTAATGTAAGACATGTAAACTTAACACCTAGAACTTGACTATATTTGGCTCTCAGTGATTATATTAAGAAAGTATCTTGTTCTCTTTTATTTTTGAATTTACATTTATCTCCAGTTGTATAAAAAAAAATGAGACCAAATCAAAGCTGTGTAAATATTAGGAAACCATATGGAAAAATAAGTTAATTTTTCCTTTTCTCCTTAAAGTCATGTTAGTATGAATCAATATCAAATATCTGTGCTATAAAGCATGGTTCTGGGTCTTTATCTGTAGTTTGGATATGCTTTTCTATTTTATATATGAAATAAATCAAATTAAGGGAGATGTACTGTGACTGTGATAAGCCATTATATTTAAAACTCAAAATACCCTCAAGATGAGAGGAAATTTGTTCCACAAATTACCCACAAAAATGCGTACTGGGTACTTGGTCCTTGAACAAATTGCTTTAAAATGTCTGCCAGAGGTTGAAAGAGGTGTTATCTCATCAGTATTCAACACCACTGCAGTAGACTGGAAAGCAGCAGGGAACAAAGATGAGACGGTGGAGACAAACGCACCCTGTGCTGTAAAACATTGGGGGAGGGCTGTGTATAATATGTGGCCCCCTGATGCTTGATTTGCTATTCCTGAACTGTCCAGAAAGTGCTTTTGCATTATTGTGGCAAAACGTTTCCATTTGATCAAAAGCACAACCATATCTCTCATCGCCAGGCTTATTATGCTCCAGCTATTCTTTTTTTGTAAATACTGGGTCACGTATTTTCTCCAGGGGTTGAAGATTGTGTGCCTTTGTGGTAGCCTCCCAAACAGGAAAGTGAGCCTGCTCCAGAGAATTCTGGATTAGTTAGCTCTCTCTATTTTCCAAATTTCCCAAATGGTTTTCTTTCCTATCAGAGGAGAAGGTGGCCATTTTAAGGAGCTGTAAATACATCTTGGTCATGGCCAAGCAGTACTTTTCTAAATGTTCCCTCTCTAGAGCCTTAGTATGGTGGAAAATGAGCAAAGGATTTAAATTTCCACCTTCTATGTGGCAGTAGTACTGATGAAGAGTCTTTAGGGAAATTAGAAATAGGACATGAACATAGTGAGTTCGGTAACTGAGGACATAGAAAGTAGAGAATCATTAGAGTGACAGCCATCATGTTAGGCCTGGCCACAGTTCAGTTTTCTGGGCAGCCTCTGATACTCCTATATCAGTGTCCATCCATGCTCCAATCATTTCTTCCCCATCATCGTTTCAGACTGTGTATATATGGGAGGATGAAGGAGGGACCAGCACAGAATAGATGCTGAGAATTCCCTTAGAGTTATAGTAGATAGGTCCTAAATAAATGTAATACACAATGGGATATTATATGAGCAAAAAACAGTCATATATGCATGTGCTTGTACCATGGAAAATGTTAATATGTTAAGATGAGAAATGTGAGTTATCAAAAAGAGGAATAGTATGCCAGTTTTTGCAAAATATATCTTTAGATAGAAAATATCTAGAGGGAGAAAATTAAATGTAATAGTATATGTCTGGAATTGCGGATTAAATTTCTTTTTTTACTTTTTGGGGGTATTTTTTGTATTTTGAAATTGAAATACATATAATTATAATCAGAACCAATCTAAAGCTATTTCCATTTGGGATGACAGTGGAGAATAAATGAAGTTTGAATAAGAAATGAGGAATTACAGTATGAGTAAAAAAATGAGTTTTAATGTGCAGACTTTTAACATATCTGCTGTTATTTTTTATTAACTGTTTAATAATTGTGGTCTTAGCTCCATTTTGAACAAGTGACATTACTGGATCAATATAATTTTGTATAGTTTAGGTGAAGGAGAAAACATTAGAAATATTGTATGTGAATCCTTAAGTTATTAGCTATATTTATTTCACTTGTTTTTCCTATTTAGTTTCAAATACAACTCTCGAGTTCCATATTACTAAATAGGTCTTTTGTTAGCTTAGACATCAAGTTAGAAACTCCAGCTTTATTCTGCGTTATAGTTATTAAACCTGTAATTGGAGGCAGTTCTCAGCAGATTGAATTGGGTTGACACTCATGGAATCATAAGAATAGAAGAGACCTTGAAAGCTCTTTTACTTCATCTCTCTGCCTTCAAGCTAGGATCACATTATATCCAGATGAATTCAGTCTGATTTTTAAAGACCTCAGGAGATAGCTTCAACTCCCCTTAGTAGCCCATTATAGTGTTTAAGAACAGTCACAGTCAGAAAATTCTTCCTTCCATCTCTTAGTAATCTGAGTCCTTCATGGTATAGTTGAAGGCCATTTCCTCTTGTTCTGTCGTCAGAGAGGACGAGGAACAGCTGTTTACCATCTTCTTCAGTACTTAAAGGCTTATTAAATCTCTTTACCACTGCTTTCTTTTCCAGTTCTTTTTAGCATTCTTTGTCCTCTGAACTCCATTCACATTTTCTTTTGCTGTACATCCCTGACCTGGATATAAATTTGGCCAGAGCTGATTGTAAATATAAGGATTACTGCACGATTTCTAAGCACCACATGTTCCCATTTATGTATCTGATGTTTTATTTGGGTTATCTTTTAATCTGTTTTATTTTGGATTGTATTTTTGCATGAAATTGCCTTGTTTCTGCTCTTATTTTTGTTGTTATTTTTTGATGTTATTCTTCTTAGACTCTGTTTTCCTGCATAGAAGTATTTTATTTTATTTAAAGATTTTATTTATTTATTTGAGAGAGAGAGAATGAGAGATAGAAAGCACGAGAGGGAAGAGGGTCAGAGGGAGAAGCTGACTCCCTGCTGAGCAGGGAGCCCGATGTGGGACTTGATCCCGGGACTCCAGGATCATGACCTGAGCCGAAGGCAGTTGCTTAACCAACTGAGCCACCCAGGCGCCCTGCATAGAAGTATTTTATTTAGAATATTCAGTATTTCCCATACTTAGTCTTTATCCTTTTAGTTTTTTTAAATTACTATTCTTTCGTCATAGTTTTTAGATATGTCAGCCCTATGGTACTAATTAACCTTAACACTATTGTTCTTTTGTCCTCGTCACTGTTGAAAGGATGAAGCATCATTAGCCCTCTCCTGTTTGATGTTACTTATGTTTTCATCAGGTTTGAGTTTTGCCTTCGAGATGATCCTTGGACTAGTTGTAGTCTAATCTAGTTGTATGTGAGTTCTCCTTTAGTATCACTGACTTGGCAGTGAATCCCATGTCTCTCTTTCACTAAATGGCCTCAACTTCTAATACCTGTCTAGTTCTTTCAGTGAAAGGTTGGCAGGAGGCAAGTAATATGGAAGGCCTAGTAGCATCATAATGCTGTAAGAGAGGATTGGCATTAAAAATGGGGTAAAGGAAGATGGTATGTACTTCTTAGTTACTGAGTATTTAATAGAAGAATAATGTTCTCCAAATTTGTTGATAAATTAATAATTGAGAATAAATTTTTGTCCTGTTCACAGTAATACTCTATCCCAACCAATCCCCCACTCCCTAGCTTTGTCTAGGAAGTGTTAACCAGTTTGACAGTCACAAGTTTGGTTGCAAGAAAATCCTAAAGGTTTGCTAAAACCAAGCAAGATTAAGTCATAGGATGCCATTTATTCTATTGTTTGTTCTGCTATCACAGACATGTTACCTTTGACAGTGTAGTTGTGATACTAGTTATTAGGATTAACAGTATTCTTTAGACAAAGTACATGATACTTTATTTTTATATTTATTTTCATTTGTAACCCTTGTGTTGTACCAAATGTCAGTTTTAATAAGGATTTTGAAATTTGCTTGATAGTTGTTAAGTGCACATAATCTATCAATTAAGAATTATTGAAGTGATTTATATGGAAATTAAATATGCATTTAAATCAGATAAATAACCAAGTGGTTCCTGATCCTAAAACTTTATATAATGCACAGGATTTTTATTGTACATTCTTGTAATTGGTTTTTAATTTGCCTTTGTATAACGTATTTTATAGTGTACGCAAGTATTTTGGTGGTGTTCATCTTTTAAACTTTTTTCTTATGTTACATTAGAAAATAGTACAAAAAATGAGATAGAACGTTTATATAACACTTTGCATCTGAAATAAAAATGCAGTGACATGTTCCTGCTTAACATAAGCCATTGATACTGGCAGCTCCTCTTCAACTTTGGCTCTGTTCCCCCCCCCCCCACTTTTTGGTATGCTTCTTTCTCAGAGAGCTTTGCTTGTTGAAAGGAGTACTGTTATATTAATATTTACCACAAATTTTATTAGAAGCTGAAGGGGATGAAAAATGGTGCTCTTAAAATGGTAAATAGCTGTTAAAGGAGTGAAAAATAAATTCAGAATCACTGATTCTCCATTTCCTTATAAGATGTCCATATTAACTCCCTTTATTAATTTTTCTAATAGCTACTCCACATCTGTTGAATGCAAAACACTATGTTAGGCACTGAAGATAAAGCAGTCAGTAAAACACACATGGTCTCTGCCCTTACGGAGTTCACAGCTATGGCAGTGATTGTACTATGAGTGTCGTAATTGCTCCCAGAAAAAATACTGCTTTTTGTTCCTTTTCATTCCATAAGAGGCCCTGATTCTTTGCATCTCTAAATAGGTAGATTATTGAAAGCATAGGAACATGTATATCAAAGGTATCAAATTTTGACATTTTTTATAATTTTTCAATGAAAAATTCTGTAATGTACATAAATACATATATATTGAAAATACTAGAATACCTGCATAGAACAAGTATAAATAAATAGTAAAGAGTAAACAAGGCAGAGCAAGACTATATTTAAAATAATATTTTATATGGAATAATATATGTTTGAATCTTTAAAATACAGGTTTATTCGTGGTTTGTGTGAATGAGCATATCTTATATATATAGTCTCTGTTAGCTCTCTTTGTATCTGGAAGAATAAAATTAGTATAATCTCTTATTAGCTCATTTGAACATTGTAGAAAGAATTATAAATGATAGAGAGAATTTTATATTTTGTCTTATATATTTAAAATTGAAGATATATAGTGTTTCTCATTTGCTGCTTCATTAATCTCTCCTTGGAAATTTCAAGTTGGATATTTTCATTCATTATATATATGCATATGTGTGTGTGTGTATGTGGTGCTGATAACTGCCTAAGTCATGTTCTTGCCATGGAGCAGTTCATAGTCTATTTAGGGAAAACTGATTAGGTAAATCACCTAATCACAAAACAAGATCATGGTTGCTATTATAGTAATATTAGTAAAGTACAGGAAACATAGGCTATAATTACTCTTGTGTGAAATTCCTCCCATAGAAATACTCTTGGAAATAAATCGTAGATGTAAATAAATGATTACATTTAGGCATTTAGATATTTTAAAAGCTTTTTGGGTATCATTTTCCAGTTTGATCCTTATCTCACTGCATAATTACTAACATTAATAAACAATAAATTGTAATTGTTTAATTATCTGTATAAAACTTTAAGTCAATGAAGATCTATAAAAGTGATTTTTAATTGTATTTTCCTTGAAAAGTTTTTTTGAAATCCTCTTCAGTATTGGATTGAATAATATTAATGCTAAGAAAAACTGCATGATTTATTTATTTGTTTATTTACATTTTAGATTTGAAAAATGTGTGAGTGCTAAGGAAGCTGTGGAGACTGATCTTTATAAACGGTTTATTCTGGTGCTGAATGAGAAGAAAGCGAAGATTAGAAGCTTACATAAATTGTTAAATGAAGTTCAAGAGCTAGAAAAGAACGTTGAGCCTGAAAGGTATTTTGAGTTGTCTGTTTTGAGATGGCAGATACAGAAATTTGGATGGAATTTTTTCCCAAACTTAATGAAAGTTAGGTGCCAACTTCTTAGTAATACGAGATCATTTGATAGTCTGGGGTTGGATACTCTGGCTGTTGGATGCAGTGGGCTGGAGAATTCTCAACATGATCTGTCCTTGTCTGCCCACTGCCATAACTACACTTAAATCCCTAAAACTGGCATATGACTTATCTAAGTATTATTTGTGTAATTCTTAGACATCATTAAAAATAATAAAAACTTATCTTCTGCAAAACTGCAGAGTTGAATACACATTTGTAATCTTGGTGTCTAAGTAGTGGTTAATTTTAGAATCAAGTGGCTCTGAGAGTGGACATAGCCTTGTTTTTTAAGGAAAAATCATAGGTGACTTATAGCTGGTATGGTTTGGACACTTATAATTATTTTAGTCTGGTTTTTATTGTTTTATTATTTTATTTATTATTTATCCACTTAATTATTTTAGTGGACCCAGGTTTGGATCTTTTGCTCTGAATCCAAGAGAATGCACAGGTTTACTAATGGCGTCATATGAAGAACACAGCATTTGATGTCAGATGGTCCTAGTTCAAGTGCTGTCTGGCACTGATATCTGTTAGTACACGACTTTGGGCAAACTGTAAACTCTCTGTGCCTTACTTGGCATCTTCATAATAAGACAAAGGATACCTCTCAGAATTTGGGGGCAATCAAAAGCAAGGCAGAACTGCTTTGAGATCAATAAAATACTGAACACTCTGTGAGCCACAGAAGATAATTTGGAAGAATAGTATTTTGATAGATGAATAATATGATAAGAAACTGATTCAAGAGTTGATTATAGTGAGCACTAAACCACATTTAAATTAGGTAGAAGGGAAACTTGTTCTTAAGAGAGTTAACATATAGTTTTTAAAGTGCTTTCTTCTTAATCATATATATTTCAATATATGTTTATTTAACTACAGTATTTTTCCAGGGATATTTTCTATATTTACTTACTGGTGAATTTGATACCTAGCCAGGGGTGAGCCAAAAATTTATAATTCTACCTTTCTTCGCTTCTAGGGAAACCACAACATGTTCTGAAATGACTGCTGACAGAGATGCAGTCTATGATGAAAGCACTGATGAGGAAAGGGAAAACCTGCCTGATTCCTCTGTGTTAGCTCCAGGTAAGAGGAATGCATTCATTACCTTTGTTGAATATCTCACTCGGGCTTCTTATTCTAAAGGTAATAAACCGTAATGAAAAATGTTATGAAAAAAGTCTTTTCTACAAAAATTCTTAAGGGTTTTTAGTCTGAAACCTCAAGTACTTAATGTTAAAAATTAATATTTATTATAAAATGCAGCAGCTCATTAACAAACAAGCATGCATACTTACACACACACACCAAGGCATGCTATTTCTTATTAAAGAAGGGTGCATAAGGAATAAGCAAGATATGTATGTGTTCATGCTAGTTATCTCTAGCTCGAAGCTGGCTGCCTTTAACATGTGAGATCTTACCTAGCTAGAACTACGGATGGGCAAGGAGCAGGGTGATCTAGAATGCTTCTGATTGTCTTGAGGCTGGGCCTTCTTTCACTATTCAGAAGAGGGGAAGAGAAGGGGAAATGGCAGTTTAAGTTAAAGTACCTGAGCCTTACTCAGTCCCTCAGATCTAAATCCATGAATTACTTTTCTAAATGTTTATAGATTTCCTAGAGGCAGGAGCCCCTGAACTCATCTTACACTTCCATGGTTCTGGCAGAAGCCTAGTAGTCTCAAAATAAATGTTTGATTCATTTAGTTAGCAAATATTTTCTGAGTGTCTCTTCTGTACCAGGAACTATTCTGTGTCAGAGAGAGCAATAATCAAATATTTTTGCTTTCATGGAGCTTATAAATTCTAGTCAGGGAAACTGACAATAATAAGATGAATAAATTGAATATCAACTATATGAGTTAGTGATAAATGCTGAAGAGAAAAATAAACCAGGGAAGGACAATAGAAAATGTCAGGGTGGAAGTAGGATAAAGGTTATAATTTTAGCCAGGGCACCAGAAAAAGCCTTGGTGAGAAGGTGACAGGTCTATCTGTGGGGCGAGCATGCTAGGCAGAAAAAAGCAGTTAGTTCAAAGGCCCTGATGTGGGAGCTTTCATCAACTTTTTATTGATGTGTTTAAGCAACAGCATGGAGGGAGGTATGGGTAAAATAGGACGATGAAGATGGGGGGATGGAGGTATGAGGTCAGAGAGAGGGCAGATCATGTGTAGGGCCTTATAGGCTATTGTAAGCATTTCAAGGTTTGCTTTCAATTACACTGGAAACTGTTGGAGGGTTTCAGACATCAGGTGATGTGATCTGACTCAGAGTTTTAGCAGGATTAATCTGGCTGTTGTGTTGAGAATGGAGTATACGTAGTGTGGTAAGCACAGAAGAAGTTAGAACAGTGGAAAGCTGGTTCAACAATTGTGAAGGATGTGAGCGGCTTACACCAGAGTGATAGCGGTGACGATGACACACAACGGGCAGATTCTAGCCATGCTGAGAGGCAGCATATTATTGTTGGTGAAGTGGGGATTATCCTGAGAGACTGACACACAACAATCATGATAAGTGTTTTGGATTGAATACCAAAGGCATGCAGTTGACTTACTGAATTAGGGGAGTACGCAAGAGGCGGGTTAGGAACTCAGTTTTTCAAACCTTAATTCTGAGATATTGAGTAGGGAGTTGGGTATACAAATTTGGAATTAGGGAGAGGGTTTCCTGCCGAAGATGTTTAAGTAAAGAGGTATTTAAAGCTGGCTGAGCTATCAAGGGAGTTTGAGAAGACCGGAAAGGGCAGTGATCAAGGACTGCGCCCTAGTGCACTTGGGTGTGTAGTGAGGAGACCAGCAAAGAAGGCTGAGAGGGAGCAGTCAGGAGGTAGCAGGCAAACACTGTAGGACACAGGTGTTCCTGGGGATCTTAAGAAGGCATTTTCAGTGGGAGGAATAGGAGGTTCAAAAGAGTGAGAGGGGATAGTTGGGAAGAAACAACAAGCCTACGCAACACTTCTAGCAAGTTGCACCATAAAGAAACGGAAAGACCTGGGTAGCTGCTGGAGGGGTGCATAGGGCCAAGGGTTTCTTTTGTCTTTTTCTTAGATGAGAGAAATAATACCACGTTTGCATATTGATGGGAGTAAGAAAGGAAAGGGGGAAAATGTTGCCAGAATTGCTGGAATACTCTTTCTCCTAAGTGAAGATGGGATCAAATGGACAAGTGGCAGGATTTGGTAAAGTAGGAGCATGGGCACTTTCCATAATGACAGAAAGGAAAGTAGAATAAATGGACAAAGACATAGGAAGGTATCTAATTGGGGGTCATGGACATTTACTGATGCTGATTAGATAAGTTGGTTGATTAACCTGATTCTAATTAGATTTGAATTGGATCACCCAATCACGTACACTCTCACTTTTGCACAGCAGAATTAAGTTTGAAGGCAATGCTTGTTTTACATTAGTGACCCAATATAAAATGAAGTCATTCTTTAATAATCAAATGTAATTGAAAGCTCACTAAAAAGGGAATCTGTACTCTTTCCAATCTAAATGTTCAAAATTTTTATTAAATACAATGGACTTTGATTTTGTTCCTTACTCAGAGTATCTTACTAACCTTTGAAGTAGATGAAAATTATTGTTGAAGAGAAAATCCATGGTTAAATAATAGGTATATGAGAATGGGGTCCTTTATGTGTTCAGTCTATTTTAGGCAAAGCTTTACTACAATTTACTATTTTAAATCTGGCAAAATTTCTCTTCTCTTCAAAAATGTTTGGTTCAGGGGCGCCTGGGTGGCTCAGATGGTTAAGCGTCTGCCTTCGGCTCAGGTCATGATCCCGGGGTCCTGGGATCGAGCCCCGCATCAAGCTCCCTGCTAGGCGGGGAGCCTGCTTCTCCCTCTGCCTCTGCCTCTCTCTCTCTCTCTCTCTCTGACTCTCATGAATAAAATAAATAAAACATTTAAAAAAAAATGTTTGGTTCATTGTACCTTTTGTCCTATCTTTTACCTGGCATATTTTCTTTAACTCAAATCTAGTTCACTACATATTTGACATATAGGTCTCTGATTCTCTCTCTCTTTTTTTTTTTTGCACTTAACTTGCTTTTGGCAGATTTTGATGTCAAGAATTAAGAGCATTTTTATTTGACATTTTAACTATCCTTTTCCTTCTGCTTCAGTAAGAAATATTCAGGAAACTGAATTTTGGAGGAAAAAAAGAGCCTCAGACCTAAAATGCTTGATATTGAATAAGAACCAGATTCCATATTGAATAAGAACCGGATTCCATATATCTGAGAAACATTTTATGTGTTAAACAACAGAATAAGCTTTCTTATAACTTACCAGATTCTATAATTCATTCTTTTACAGAGACAAAATTGTACTCTTAGTCCATGGGATATATGTTTATATATATAATCATAGCTTCGTCTTTTGGTATTTTATATGTTATTACTATGTATTTGGACCAGAGCAATGAAAGTTTCTTCCTGAACTTACTCTGTCATCTTGATAATGAATTACCTATTCTTATTGTACAAGTAAATATTTGAACTTATTTTAGGTACGCAGGTTCATGTGTACTTTCCCTACAATAAGAACAGGAGGAAAAAAATTGATGCGATTTAATACATTTATTCTTTCAGAAAGCCATTTATTTAAAATGGTAAATGTTTAACTTAGTAGTCATTTCTATTATGTAAATGTGTTTTCATCATTGATTTTTAAAACCATCAAATTTCCTCATGAGTCATTCACATTTTTACCCCATTCCTGTATGATAAAAGTTTAGTGAGACCAAGATCACTTAGTGATTCCACAGTATTCATTCAAGGAAAAGGTCTGCTTATTTTTATACATATATCCAGATGTATGATAGGGATATTGTAGTTTGCAGGAAACTTGATAGGTAACTTTTTTATGTATAGGCAATCTCTTTTATTACTTTTTTTCTCCAAAGTTTTAAATCCCCCCCCCCCCATCATTAGGGTTGTTGAGGAAATAACTGATGACAGTACTCCAATCTAATAAACTACATCATGCTCATATGTATTATACCATATAGTATGAAAAACCCCTAAAATTTTTAGAAGTTGGTTATCTAAAAGAAGATCTCCGAAGTATTCTGAAACTTGAACATCACAGTCTATACCACCCATACCTACATTTTACAGTTTTCTGTAAATATATAAAGCAAGATTTACTTTCTATCGTTCTTAACTTCCAGAATTTCTAAATAGGTAGCAATGGTATTACAGACTTAGTTTAAGAAATAAATGATTACTGCGTGCTAAAGCCCATAGGCATTTAACTTTGTTTCAGATTAAGGTTAAGATAGATAAACTGGTTGCTATGGTCTCTGTTTATAGCTCCACCCCTGGATTACCAAGGAGGATGGATTACTTTCACTCTCACCTAGTTTGTCTAACTCCTTGTGGCTTTAAGGATTTCCTGGTTTGTCTGGATTTGCCCTACCTCCATGTTGTTTTTGTTTTTTGTTTTGTTTTTTAATTGAATGGAAAAATAACCCTGTTGGGTTTTTATAGATATAGTAAAACAACCTTCTCTACAGGAAATCTTCTGTGTTTTTGGATACAAATCAAGGTAACATCTGATGTCCATGTCTTTGGAGAAACTTTAGGTTGAAGTAGGTCTCCCGAATAACAGAACCTCACCAAAATACAGAGACAGAAGTGTAATTAGTATAGCATCTGAGTGCCAAAACCTCTAGCAGTGCATTCACGTGGCCTTTTATTTGCCCCAACAGTATCTGCTATAACCTAAAAATTAATTTATGGTTATGCAGTTTTTCATATTTATAACCATTTTGATACTGTAATAATAGTAAAATGGTATGTGAAAATAATTTTTAAATATATATGAATAGTCTTAAGAATTTTAACCATTATTATAAAAGATTTCTTAGTGTTAACATAATTCAGAATGTGGGTGAATATTTAGTACAAAGATTGGGCCTATTTCATTGAAATAGGATCTTTCCTTTGAAGCATTTTGAAAACTTACGCTTGATTGGTTCCTAATTAGCTTTTACAAGAGGAATTATTTTAATGTCTCCTTAATTATTTTAAATTATTTATTTTTAAATTAATATAATATTTTTAAATTGTAA